CTGAGGCAGAAGGATCACCTGAGCCCAGCAGGTCGAGGCTGCAGTGGCTGTGAGCGTGTCTCTGCATTCCAGCCTGGGTGACAGAGTGAGACTCTGACTAAAAAAAAAAGAAAAGAAAAAGAAAAAGGTCTGATTTTCAATTCAAGGTAAACGGAAGTAAGTTTTCAAGTTGAGTTAGTCTTTAATTTCACTGACTAAATCAAAATCAAACAAAATATCCCTACTCCAGTAGTCACTTTAAAAATAGCAAACCAGCTGGCCATGGTGGCTAACACCTGTAATCCTAGCACTTTGGGAGGCCAAGGCAGGGGGATCGCTTGAATCCAGGAGTTGAAGACCAACCTGGGCAACATAGTGAGACTTTTGTCTCTACAAAAAAAAAATGAAAAATTAGCTAGTCATGGTGGTTCATGCCTGTAGTCCCAGCTGCTTGGGAGGCTGAAGCAGGAGGATTGCTTGAGCACAAAAGTTGGAGGCTGCAGTGAGCTATAATCATGCCACTGCATTCTAGCCTTGGTGACAGAGTGAGACCCTGACTCTAAAATAAAAACAGGAAATCATTTTTTCCCACAGAAATTTCCTTTGTTTTCTTTTATTCAAGGTGGAGAATAAAAATAAGTAAGACTTGGTCTCCAGAAAATATAACCTTAAAAGCTGAATTTGGAAATTATCATTGACATCTGAAATACCTAATAAGCCATTTTTTACAGCAGCTTTGTTTACGAAAATCACTACCTTCACTATCAAAAACTGACAAGCTCCACTTTTAGCTTATAAATGAAGGCAGCTAGGGATCATGAGCCATTGTGAGCTTACTAAAGACGCCATTCTGTTTATACACTTAAAGATCAGCACTTAGGCTTGCCATAGCATTTCAGAAAGCTAGCCTTTGAATCATGTACCCCCTTAGCCCACTTGAAATATGAATTCTGATCCGGGCTCGGTGGCTCAGCCTGTAATCCTGCGCCTTTGGGAGGCTGAGGTGAGTGGATTGCCTGAGCCCGCGGGTTTGAAACCCGCCTGGGCAGCAAGACCTCATCTCTACAATAAATCAAAAAGTCAGCCGGGTGTGGTAGCGCATGCCTGTAATTCCGGCTACTTGAAAGGCTGAGGCAGAAGAATCACCGGAGCCCAGCAGGTCGAGGCTGCGGTGGCCAGAAGCGGCCACTGCACTCCAGTCTGGGCAACAGAGTGAGACTCCAACTCAAAAAAAAAAAAAAGAAAAGAAATAAATTCTGCTCACATACTGATTTTCAAGAATTTATTTATTTTGCAGAGCAAGGAATATGTGTATTGGAGCTTGCAATAAACTAATCACAACTAAAGAAGCAATGGAATGTTCTTGATGTTCTTAGACTCATATCCTTAATTTGAGAAGATAGAAAACTAAGTACTATAAAATGAAAACTTTCATAAACTTCAGGGTATAATTTTCAAAGTATTTTTGAACACATGAACCAAAGTTTAACATGTCGACAGTTTACTACAAATATATCTGAAATTAGGTGTGACAGTGTATACCTTCAGTCCCAGCTACTTGGAAGGCTGAAGAGGGAGGATTGCTTCAGCCCAGGAGTTTGAGGCTGCAGTGAGCTGTGACCATGCCGCTGTGCTCCAGTCTGGGCAATAGAGTAAGGCCATGACTTGGGGGGGGTGGGGGGGTGGATAAATTTGAGTGTACTCACATAAAGTAATAAATGTCATGATCAAAACTTGTGTTCCTTGACCCAGGAAGACTGACAGCAACATTCCACTCTTTGGGGGCCTGAATACATCAGCATGAACCAGCTTCCAGCCAAACTCCTGGGCATCTTTCTGCACATGAGAAAGCCTCTAATAAACATTCAAGTTACTATGACAGAAAGTTACAAGAACTCTGAAAGTTAGATGAAACAGAATTTTCCTTTAAAGACAGACTGACTGGAAACCAATGGCTCATTATGAATTTAGCAGGTCTCTGAAAGGTACGTGATCCTGCCACATAAATAAGTCACTCCTTACTCAGTTTTTCATTGGAGAGAGTGTATTAGTTACATTAATCACACAACTGACTTGCTTTTCATGAAGAAAGCAAAATGAGTTAACCCACATAAAGAACTTGACCAATGTTACAGAAATTAAAAATTCACCAATACACAAATGATTACAAGAGTCAAAACATTATAAACAGTATAACCTAAATTATAGTATTTTGCAATGTTTGGTATATTTATCTCATACTACAAATCAATGAAAATCTTAAATAATGATATTTTGAGAGTTCAGAAACTTATAAAAATAATATAACCAGACTTACCTGAAGTTTAAAAAAAATCTATACATTGCCTGAATTCAGGAAGTTGGGGCTGCAGTAAGCCGTGACAGTGTCACTGCACTCCAGCCTGGGCAACAGAGCAAGACCACAAAGCAAGAAAAGGGAAAAAAAACTACTATACCAGCCAGATGTTGTGGCCCACACCTGTAATCCCAGAACTTTGGGAGGCCAAGGCAAGAGGATTGCTTGATCCCAGGAGTTCAAGACCAGCCTGGAAATATAGCAAGACCTTGTCTCTACAAAAAAAACCCAAAACACTAGCCAGGTATGATGGAAGGTGCCTATAATCCCAGCTACTGGGAAGCCTGAGGCAGATGGATCGCCTGAGCCTGGGAAGTCAAGACTGAGTGAGTGAGCTATGATGGTGCCACTGTACTCCAGCCTGGGCAACAGAGTGAAACTCTGTTTCAAAAATAAATACATAAATAATCTACACAACTCTATTCTTTCTGATTTGGTATAATATGCACAATTATTAGGCATCAAAAATGTGTTGTATTCAATGTGTTCATACTCTAGAAATATAGCACTGAGAACTGGACATAGTAGGCACTCAAGTACTTGAATCAAATATGTGCATTTTTACTTACAGAAGTCTTCATCTGATTATATCTGATAATATCTCTATGAAGAGTCCTTAATATAATCATAGCCACCATTCCAGATAAGATAAGAATAATAACAAAAGAATTCATAATACTGGAAAAATTAAGAAAGGAAAAAAGTTAAATCTCAAATTTCTTAAGGGAACACTAAAAAATGCTTATACATATAAAAGAAAAACATCCAAATTATCATTATGCCAATCAGTTTTCCAGGGTTAAACATAGATCAAAAACTGAATGCATCAATATGTTAAATGAACCTAAAGCTATATTACAAAAGTGTACTACAAATATAGTAATAAAAGCAAGACTATTCTTAAGGTTTTTTTTTATTATTATTGCAATACCTTTAGGAGGTACAAATAGTTTCTGGGTACATGATTGCATTATATAGTGGTAAAGAAGTCTGGGCTTTAAGTGTACCCACCACTCCCACTTATGCACATTGTATCTGATAGGTGTAACTTTAAAATTTTTTAAGAGTACATTTTTTAAAAGAAATAAGGATAAATGAATGAGATTAGTCATACAAACTTAGTTCTAGAGCATGGAACTGGGAACAAAAGTTCAAAAGTCACAGGCTGAACTAATGGCTGAGGTACTTAGCCAATGGACCAAGGTATGGTCTTCTAACATTATCACTCTATGGGCTTCAGGGCAAAGACCCCAAGGACCAGTTATCTACCAGATCTTACTTACTGTTTTTAAAATTAAAAATTAAAAACTATCCCCAGAAGCTGGGTGTGGTGCCTCATGCCTGTAATTTCAGTACTTTGGGAGGCTGAGGCAAGAGGATTGCTTGAGCCCAGGAATTCGAGACCAGCCTGGGCAACATAGTGAGACCTCATCTCTACAAAAAAAATTTTTTAAAAATCAAAAAAATTAGCTGGGTGTAGTGGCACATGCCTATAGCCCCAGATACTCAGGAGACTAAGGCAGAAGGATCACCTGAGCCCAGGAGGTCAAGACTGCAGTGAGCCATGATTGTATCACCATACTCCAGCCTAGGTGACAGAGTAAGAACCCGATTCCAAAAAAAAAAAAAAAAAATTATCCCCAAACCATCCACTATCCCACTCCCCATCCCCAGCCAAATCTACACACACCAAAAAGTTTCACCAGAATCTATGAAAAGGCCTGCATTGTTTTAGTGAGATACCAATAAGATGACTGATGTCTAACATGTCTGTTAAGTGTTATAAGTAAATTAGCTGATGGCAGAAATTACAGTATATTCATTGTTACTTATACTTATTATTACTACTAGAGATTAGCCCCCACAATCTATCTAGAGGTTCCTCACTTTCACAACCCCTTTGGAGAAACCATTTAAACAAATTTTATTTAAGGAAATTTCTGGGGGTGGTGGCAAAATGAGATCTGGACTGTTGCCCAAACAGAAGACTCTCTGGAAAAGCTACCATAAGGAGGAGGAGAAGGACAAAGAGGAGGAGGAGTGAGGGTGGGAGCATAGGAACACAAAAAGGAAGGGAAGATATTCTCATTTTAAAGGCAGAGGGAATAAAGGAAAATTATCACTTGAGAATACCATACTCATAGTATCACAGCATTCCTTACTTTCATTTTTACTGTGTAGTCTTCTTTCATCTAAAATTGCTTTATTGCAGGATAAAATACTAATAAAATGCTATATATATACATCAGTTTCTTTTTTATTCACGTCTTTGCTCGGTCTCCTATGTTACTAACAACATCCTACTCCTACTCTCAGCATTTTATCACAACCCCAATCATTAGGTTCTCAGTTGGCCCATCCCTCAATTTCATGTCGAAACTACTTCCACAATCACAGACTTCTGTGTGATTTGATCCTGTTGAAGATTCTTGAGGAATCAGGTCGTTTCACTGATTCTACTAGAATATAAGCTTCATGCAAGCAGAAGTCTCATCTGCCCTATTCATCATTGTATCTGAGAGGCTATCACAGTGCTTGGCATCATACTAGGAAGTAAAAAGAATAAATTGTCTGATTCTGGCAGACATTATCTCCACACGAACCTCTCCTATCTATGATCTGCCTTGATTAAATAGCCACTTGAAAGATGGTGGTTTGTCTTATGTAATCCTTTCGCCTTCTTCTCACCCTTTTCTCAGTTTTTCATGACATCCCTAATTTCCTCTACCCCAGCTGGTTACCACTTTTCTGTACTCCCTAGTGCGCTCAGACTTTCTGAGTCCACAAAAGTTTCCATTCTGTTTGCTTTTCCTCTCTTGTATATTGCCCACTTTCTAGAAAAGTCTTCATATCTCATCTACTCCCCACCCCAATATTCTTTGCATGCAGACACAGCATCTCCAAGACTTTCAGGCTTCTCTGTCCCTTCAACATAAACATTAGCATATTTAAAACACATTTATCCTTTTTTTTCCTTTTCATTGAGTATATGGGAAGGTGGGGGGAGGGGAGAAGAGGGGAAACTAGCCACAGAGAAGAAAAAATAAGTCACCTAAAATCATCTGTGATGACAAAATACCTTAATTTAAATATACATATTTACATTTCCTACCCCAAAGTAACTTATTCTTTATTTCATGGAGTGCTTACCTAAACCACAGAATGTTGGTATGAGGCATAGACTCCAAAATATAATCCCATCTAGAAGCCCACTTGACATTTTTGTTTTCCTAAAATAAAAATATGAAATCATATGATAAAACTTTAGGCTGACCTTTTGCTGGTTATACTCCTCAAACAAACAGTGAAACTATTCTACTTGTGCTTTCTTCATTTCTTTACTTCTAACTTCATGGAACTGTGTGATCTACCTTGACATTTTTATCTTATTTTCATTTCCTGATATTGTACCTCATTTCAAAAAGGAACTAGGAGGAAAATAATTTGAGCTTACTGCTATTTACCAAAAATGACATATTTTTGCTACTATTTGCCTGTAACCCTAAATGTACCCTATATTTCATTTCCTTTTGTCCCAACCACATTTCCATCTTCATTGTAACTTTACATCATACTTGAAAAGGTGCACAAAGATATACATAATGAGAATTACCATAACTTTCTTTGTAAATATAAAAACTTAGAAACAACCAAAAATGCCCATCACAATGAGAATAAACTATGGTAAATCATGCTAGCAAATATTATATAACCATTGAAAAGAATGATGTGCATCTATAGGTGATGTCTATGAAGCAGCATTAAATGAAAAAAGAAAGGTGAAGAATATGCATAGCAAAATTCCATTTTCCCCCAAAAAAGACAATATACATATCTTGTAGGTGCAAGCATTTTTCTGAAAGAATAAGAAAAAAATAATGGTTTTACTATTAGAGGAAGAGAGTACAAATTTGAGGGCAAAGGAGGGGAGCAATTTACTTAGTCATTTTCTATATGGTTTGAAGTCTTCACCACATACAAACACACAACTATTGTTGATATAATTACTTAAACTAAAAGACAACTTGCTTCACTGCAACTTACCAACTTCACCCACTGCAAATAGGTTTATTATTAGTGTATTTTGTTTGATTACAGAACCTTGTTCAATGTAACCCATCACTGCTTAACAAATACTCCAATATTTTACATTTTTATGTTAAGTTTGGAGATGTTGTAGCTATAAGCTTATAAAAAGATTTTTTTTAACATTTGAGCTTTCAGGACTGAATAAAATACAAAGAAAACCATAATTTTGACTCAAGATATTCCTCCAGATGTGTAATCAAATTCAACTTGTCAACAATTTTCTTTTAAAATATCACCAACTTGTCAACAATTTTCTTTTAAAATATCACCAGTGCTGGGTGCACTGGCTCACAACTGTAATCCCAACACTTTGGGAGGCCGAGGCAAGAGGATTGCCTGATCCCAGGAGTTCAAGACCAGCCTGGGCAACTTGGCGAGACCTCGTCTCTACAATACATCAAAAAATAAGCCAGGCATGATGGCGCATGCTCTGTAGTTCCAGCTACATGAAAGGCTGAGGCAAAAGGATCGCCTGAACCTGGCAAGTCGAGGCTGCGGTAGCAGTGAGCATGCCACTGCACTCCAGCTTGGGCGACAGAGTGAGACTCCGACTCAAAAATAAAATAAAATATCACCAATAGATGAGGATCTTAAATGATAATCCCCAATAAACACTTGAGCCGTTAATGCAGTATTACCCCTCAAATCAATGGTATACTCTTAGCAAAAGAAAAACACTGGCACAGAATGACCAGGCTATGCTTGAAATGACTTATTATTTAAAATTGGATATCTTTAGATACTTTTTCTGAAATTTGGGGCATATGAGGAAAGTAATCATACATTGCTTTTTTAAAAAAATTAAAACCCAATGATAGATTTTATTTTATTATTTTTTCTAAACTCCTGGGCTCAAACGACCCTCCCTCTTTGGCCTCCCAAAGTGCTAGGATTACAAGCATGAGCTACTGCATCTGGCCCCAAGTGATAGATTTTAATTAAAAAGGGTTTTAATTCAACAATAGATTTCAGTTAACTCCTGATGGTCACGTGATCATGATTAACATTACCAGTGATGAGACAGGTTAACATCACGTACCTTCTGATGTGATGTATCACTTCTGTGGTATTCCTGCCAAGAATGCATGGCCTAAGTCTGGTCATGAAGAAACATCAGACACACTCAGGTCATGGTCATCCTACAAAATGTAAGATCTGTTCCCTTTAAAAATTTCAAAGGTATGAAAGAATAATGAACTGGTCCAGATTGGAGGAGACAAAAACTAAATGCAACATATAATCCTGGATAGGATTGTGAACCAGAAACAGAAAGGGTGACACTGTTGACCAGCTGGTGAAATGTGAGTGGATTGGCCGAGCGCAGTGGCTCAAGCCTGGAATCCCAGCACATTGGGAGGCCAAGGTGAGGGGATAGCCTCAGGTTAGAGAACAGCCTGGCCAACTTGGTGAGACCTCATCTCTACAATAAGTCAAAAAAATTAGCCAGGCATAGTAGCGCACGCCTGTAGTTCCAGCTACTGGAAAGCTGAGGCAGAAGGATCGCCTAAGCCCAGCAGGTCGAGGCTGTGGTGGTTGTGAGTGTTCCACTGCACTCCAGTCTGGGTGACAGAGTAAGACTCCAACAGAAAGAAAGAAAGAAAGAGAGAGAGAGAGAGAGAGAGAGAGAGAGAGAGAGAGAGAGAGAGAGAGAGAGAGAAGGAAAGAAAGAAAGAAAGAAAGAAAGAAAGAAAGAAAGAAAGAAAGAAAGAAAGAAAGAAAGAAAGAAAGAAAATGAAAGAAAGAAAGAAAGAGAAAGAAAAATGTGAGTGGATGGATGTGGATTGGATGGTAGAGTACCAGTATTGATTCCTGATTTGAAGGGTTGTATGATAGGAGAGTGACCTTGTTTTAAGGGAAGCATTCTCTAGAGTGTTTAGGGATGACTGGACAACATCTAGCTCTCAAAAGATCCAGAGAAAGATTCATAATAATGGGCACACACACAGAAAAGTGAACAGTGGAGTAAATGAGGTAAAATTTTGTTGCTGTTTTGTTTTGTTTTTGCTTTTGTTTGAGTTGGAGTCTCACTCTGTCACCCAGGCTGGAGTGCAGTGGCACGCTCACAGCCACTGAAGCCTCGATCTGCTGGACTCCAGCAATCCTTCCACCTCAGCCTTCCAAGTAGCTGGAACTACAGGCATGCATCACCATGCCCAGCTAATTTCTTGATTTATTGTAGAGATGAGGTCTCACCAAGTTGCCCAGGCGGGTCTTGAATCCATGGGCTCAGGCAATTCTCTCACCTCAGCCTCCCAAAGTGCTGGGATTGTAGGCATTAAGACACCATGCCCCGCCAGCAAATGAGGTAAAATGTTAATAATCGGCGCATCTTTTAATCCGGGACTACAGGAGTTCGCTGTGCTGTTTTGGTAATTTTTCTGTAAGTCTGAAATTGTTTCAAAATGAACTAATTTTAAAAACCTATAAGAAAGTCATAATTTATAGAACTGATAAATTTAAAAAATACTCATTCCATGGACGGATTCCACCATACCCACCTATTAAAGTATTGTTGTATTTTTCTAGAAACTCCTTTAAAAATATTGTTGCAATAATAGAATGTAACTTAATTTGTCAAAATTTGAACTACATGCATCCCTTTACCAGCCTATCCTTTGCCTTAATTGAGTTCATTCATATCAAGTCTTGTAAAAAAAAAAAAAAAGCAATACTTTAAAATATGCATTATGAAGTTTGGACTTCAACTACAAAGAGAGCCTGGACAATCTGCACCAAACATTGCCATCTGCTGGAAATAACAGACCATAACATGTATTGCTTTTCCCTAAGAAAGTAAGAAATTTCCAATTTCCATAAGGGTGTCTCCTGCATTTTCTAAGGTTCTTATAGTTTGAGGTTTTATGTTTAGATCTTTGATCCATTTAGAGTTGATTTTTGTGTATGGTGATAGGTAAGGGTCTTGTTTTAACCTTCTGCATGTGGTCAGTCAGTTTTCCCAGGACCACGTACAGACATCTTTAAAATATATATATTTTTTAAAGTAAGAAATTACTTTTAAAATCCTAAGGCACATTTGGGAACAAAACGGCAACTGCAAAGTGATAACTAAGTGGTAGAATCTATTTTTAATCCATTTTAAATGAATAAATTATTCTTCGGCCAAGCACAATGGCTCAAACCTGTAATCCCAGCACTTTGGGAGGCGGAAGCGAGAGGACTGCCTGAGCTCAGGGGTTCGAGACCAGCCTAAGCAACATGGCGAGAACTTTTCTCCACAATAATAATTTTAAAAAAAGCTGGACATGGTGGCATGCGCCTGTAGTTTCAGCTACTTGGAAGGCTGAAGCGGAAGGATGCCTGAGGTCAGCAGGTCAAGGCTACGGTGGCCGTGACTGTGCCACTACACTCCAGCCTGGGTAATAGAGTGAGACTCCAACTTTTAAAAAAATTACTATTCATCTTTACTTCCCAGAGTTTTAAAATCTTTTATGAGACATAGCAATTCTCATAAAATCATGAAGAAAATCGGTCTTTAAAGTTGCTAATAATGGAGGCACAAGCAGCAAAGGCAGAAACAAAAACAAGACTTCTTGATCAATGATACAGTACCCTGTATCATTCATGCAGGGATCCAAAAACTTGATCTTCTAGTCCAGTTTTTCTCAACAGGGGAAGCAGCACCCCCTAGGGGGCATAATGAAAATGTGTGGCGATGCTGCTAGGTATCCAGCAGCATAGAATGCCTGATGTCCTGCAGTACACAATAGAGAACTGAGAACTGCACTGGGTCCCAAAGATCTTCCAAATGCCCCATACAACATTCATGTGGGTGTAAATCTGCATATGATTATCTGTACCTAGGTTCAAACTGCCTTTTACAGATAAACACAAAGTATTTACACATGGTCTTAATATACATTGATTTTCTTTTGTCCCCAAGCATGCAACTACCATATCAATTGACGGGAAAATGGTACTATGTTTGGTTTGGAACTTTGCCAAAGTTGAGCAACATTTTAGAAAGTCATGACATCATTTGAAAAGATGTGTCATTTGAGGCACCAGTGTGCAATATTCTTATACCCATCTGTTGTCACGTTTACAATGATTATACAGACAGGTACAAGCACCTGACAGTTACTGTAATATATACTTAAATACATATTTTATTAAAAGTTAC